CCCCCCCTTCTACAAACTGTTTAGTATTCTTGTAGACCCTTTTGGGACCAACACTTATCTTGTAATAACATCAAAGAGATTTATCACTAGACCTCAAGGTCTAACCTTCATTTTGTGTTTTAAATATGTGCATTACAATTCGGCCACATCCAAAGGACAAGGGAAAGGAAATTGTGAAGCGATATATATATATATATATATATATATATATATATATGCTTGCATGGGTTATTAGGTAGCATATTATTCTTTTGAATTTGAATACTTGTTATGTGTTGGTATAAATATTTTGTTGGAAAAGTAGTTAGTTATTTTGTAAGAGATTGGAACCGAATGTGTAAATATATTTCTTGATATATGAAAAACAAATATTTTTATGCAAATATGATTTTGGGATGTTATAGCAGGGAATCCCCATCCCCATCAAGACGGATACACCAGGTTTCCCAATAGAGCGGGTCTAGTTCCCATGCCTAGATATAAACACTATAAACAATTTCATACTTCTTTTTTCAAAAATAGGAAGTAAGATGGCAAACGTAATATATATATATATATATATATATATATATATTTTTAAGTTTATAGAAATATTTTATTTGTAGTAAAATAATCATACTTTTGAGATGTAAATCAACTATTTACATACATGTTTATTGATGGGAAACGTACTTAGCGAGTTTTAGGATTTCATAATTACACATAAGTTGTGTATTCGATATTTCAGTTATAGATAGTCTCTTTTAAAACATGTTAATTAAAACAGTAGCATACTAGTTTGTTTGAAAAATACCGTAAATATGTGTACGATATTTATTAACTTGTGAAAGTATCTTTAACAGATCTTTCAGAATGTATAACATGAAAATTTAAAGCAAATTTATGCTTAAAAATTATACAAATTTAAAAAACTCTTCAAAAATTACTATAATAGAAAAAAACATTTTTTTATTATAATCTCATAATAAGAAATTTTAATATTAAATGTTTATAAAAAAATAATATTTTATTATATTTTTTAATATTATAATTTATACATATTTATCGAAGTTAAATGTAAATATGATGCACATGACTTGCATGGAATAAGCGTGGATAGTTCAATAAAAAAAATTATAGGCATGTTGATTATGTAATTACATCATCTTCAACAAATTTTCTAAATTTTATTTAAAAATATAGAATTAAAAATTAAAAGTTTAAAAAAATATTATATTCATTTTCAACAAATTTTTAATTTTAGAAATTATAACATCAGTTATATTACTAAATAGTAAAGGATTCTCGCACAATGCAACGAGATACATCAAAATAATGTCTCGTTTTATTTTTTTTGTCTTTGTCGATATAATATGATTTTGAGAAAGCGATGATGTTTTTATTTATAAAAATTTGACAAAAATATATCGATAATAGTATCAAATTAATTTTTTAAAATTAATTTTTATGTAATTTATTTAATTAATTTTTTTTATCATAATTCAATTTAGGTTTAATAACAAAGTAATTTAGTTTTGTTTTAATAATATAATTTTTATAAGGATAATAATTAAGTATTATGTTATGAGTATAACTCAATAATTATTTTAATTATATTTTAATTCTTTTATATTTAAAATTAAATGTTTATCCTGTAGTTGATTATGTTTTTTTATAGTTAATTACACGAATTCAAACATGTATCTTTAATAAATTATAATTATGCACAACTTACTTGTAACCTCGAATTTTAAGTAATATACATCAATAAACAGTGCTTTATGCATAAAAAATGGTTTTTAAAATTATTTATCAAATGTTTTATAATATAATATAGATAGAGATGTTAGATGTTTTGAAAATTGAATACTCATTAAAAAATATAAAACACTAAAATCAATTAAATAATATAATATATTTTATTATTATTATTGTTTCATATATTAATATACATATATTATATTATATATTTATTATCTTTTATATATTATTATTTTATGTTATGTTATATAAT